TGTTCATCAATGCCAGAAGTCTGCCAAGCAAAATAGGCGAGTTGGAAGCTTTAGTGCATGAAGAGAACTATGATTTAATTGGTATTGCTGAATCTTGCCTTCATTCTTCACATGACTGTGCCCATTAATATTCCTGGTTATGTTATCTTTTGGAGAGACAGGGTAAATAGGAAAGGTGGTGGTGTCTGTCTCTATGTGAGAAGTGATCTCAGAGAGTGTGAAAGAAGACCTAGTTGATGGAGAGTGTGATGAGGCTGAAGTATTATGGGTGGAACTGCATATGGGGGTGCATACTACAACAGGTAATCATTGGAGTTTGTGATAGGTCTCCCAGTGTTAATGAGGAGGTGGAGACTCAGCTCCTTGCACAGATCGAAAGGCTGCAAGGGCTGGGACAGTGATAATAATGGGGAATTTTAACTACCCAGAAATTGACTGTAGTAATGGTACTGCAGGAACAGTTAAGAGGCAAAAAATTTTAAACCTACTCCAGGACAATTTTATGGTACAGTTCATAGAGGCCCCAACTAGGAATGATGCCCTGGACCTGGTAATCTCAAACCATGCAGAGCTTATTACGAATGTCCATATAAAAGTACATCTGGGTAGCAGTGACCATAACATTATTTAATTTATTGTTAGCTGTAGACAGCAAGCACACACGGGAAAAATAAAAACGCTCAATTTTAAAAGAGCTAATTTTCCAAGGCTGAGAGCTGCTCTCCAAAGACTTAGACTGGGAGGGAATATTGACATCAATGAACACAACACCGAAATGGGAGTTCTTCAAAAAAGACTGTATGTGAACACACTGCAAAATATATTCCCATGGGCAACAAGTTGAAAAAGCTAAAAATCAAATCTATGTGGCTTACGGCCAAGTTAAAAAAAGCTATAGAAAATAAGAAAAAATTGAAAACGAACAACAGATTGCAAAGGATAGCAAGACCAACCCCAAAAAATTCTTCAAATATATTAATAGTAAAGAGGTCCAGCCCGAGCATGTAGGCCCTTTAATAAATTTGCCTTCTCTTCGTCCCCAGTCACCCACTCTAGATTATTTTGTAAATACCTTCTTCAGCTCTGTGTATACAAAGGAGCATGGGGGAGCTCTTGTCCATAATGGGATGGTATTGACACAGCTCCAGATGATCCACATTGGCTCACAACTGATATGATCCAAAAATATTTAGACAGAATAAAGGTGAATAAAGCACCTGGACTGGATGGCATACACCCATGGGTCCTTAAAGAATTGAGCTCTGTCATTTCAAAGCCATAGTTTATCACTTTTATGGACTCTTTAATGATAGGCATAGTACCACTGGAGTGGCGTAAGGCCAATGTGGTGCCAATATTTAAAAAGGGGTCAAAATCTTTACCTAGTAATTATAGATCTGTTAGTTTGACATCTATAGTTGCAAAGATACTGGAGAGTTTAATAAAAGACCACATAGATGAGTTCTTGCTGGAAAAAAATATTTTAAGCAACAAACAGCATGGATTCATGAAAGACAGAAGTTGTCAAGCAAATCTGATTTCTTTTTCTGAGGAGGTGAGCAAAACCTTGGACAGAGGGGTGGCGGTGGATTTGGTATACTTAGATTTTGCAAAAGCGTTTGACACAGTTCCCCACACATGGCTAACTTGTAAGGTAAAGTCTACAGGCTTTGAAAAATCTGTATGTATAATGGATAGAAACCTGGCTAAAAGATCGTATTCAGAGAGTTGGCAAAGAATTAGTGCAGCGCTAAGAATAAAATTATATAATGTATTCCTGTACCAGGCTGTACTCCATTAGAGGGGAGATCCTCAGGCGGATTTAATGATTAAGGGATTGCGCTTCTGGTGAAAATCTTACTACCATCGCACACCACCAGTTACTATTGTTTCATGAGGCCATAAAGATCACTTGATTTTTAGAACCACATATTTATTTCTGATATTTCACTTTGCATCCTGCATTTATTTATGGGACTTTTTCTTGTCATTTTGTGTAATACATATTGATACCATTTAATGCGGATTGCTATTCCATCGGTTTTTTGGCTATTTTAGATTACGTCACAGTAATATTAATATATATATATTTATTATTCTTAGCGCTGCACTATTCTTTGTTTCAATTTGTCTATTGAGAGGATTTGTGGTTCCTTTTTTGGTGCATTGGCTGCTGGTTCAGTTAAGCGCTCGCTGAGCTTTCCATGTTTACAAGTGGTTAATGATTCATACTCTGAATGGTCTATGGTTGTCAGTGGTATACCCCAAGGATCAGTGTTGGGACCCTTACATTTTAATATATTTATAAACGATATAGGGTCTGGGATTAAAAACCCCATTTCAGTCTTGTTAATTGGGCAATTATGTGGAAAATGAGGTTTAATGTTGATAAATGTAAAGTTATGCACTTGGGGGCTAAGAATATGCATGCATCATACATACTAGGAGGAGTACAACTGGGGGAATCAATGGTGGAGAAGGATCTGGGAGTTCTGGTAGATCACAAGCTTAATAATGGCATGCAATGCCAAGCTGCGGTTTCTAAAGTGATCAAAATCCTCTCTTGTATTAAAAGAGGTATAGACGAGAGAGAGAGAGAGAGAGAGAGATCATATTACCCCTGTACAAATTAGTAACACCTCATCTGGAATATGCAGTTCAGTTTTGGGCACCAATTCACAAAAAGAACATTGGGGAACTGGAGAAAGATTAGAGGAACTGAATTTATTCTCTGTAAGGATTAAGGGGGGATATCATCAACATGTATAAATACATCAGTGGTTCATATAGTGAACTCGGTGTAGAGCTATTCACCCTGAGGTCATCACAGAGGACAAGGTGGCACGCTTTAAGTCTGGAGGAAAAGAAATTTAATCTCCAAACCACGGAAAGGTTTCTTCACAGTGAGAGCTGTGAAAATGTGGAATAGGCTCCCTCAAGAGTTGGTTCTGGCCAGCTCTGTGGAGTGCTTTAAAAAAAGGCCTGGATTATTTCTTAGATACACAGAATATAACTGGATACTAACATTTATAGGTAAAGTTGATCCAGGGAATATCCGATTGTCTCTTGTGGGATCAGAAAGGATTTTTTTTCCCTGCAGGAGCAAATTGAATCATGCTTTGCTGGGGGGGGTTTTTTGCGTTCTTCTGGATCAACCTATACTTATGGGTATAGGATTATAAAACTTTTTTTTTTTAATGGTTGAACTGGATGGACTTTTGTCTTTTTTCAACCAGACTATGTAACAGAAAAAAAAACGTGTGTGTTGCTCTGAAAGATTTCCCATTACCTCCTATTGGACGATAGCGTACAGAAAGCAAGAGAAAATCTCTTCAATGGAGACCCAAATACCAGTAAAAACCCAGCAGAGGATTGAATACTTCCTCACTCTGTCCACAACTAAAAGGCTGGGATTTCCTCTCATCCAGCATGGTAATAATAAAACAGCATAAACTTTAGCTTACCACTTCAACTTACTAACAACAGTTTTGGGTGGAGACTGGCAACCAAACAATGACGACATTAACTAGAATAGTTATTGTGATCTAGCGTAAGCTGCTGGTCTTCAATCAGCTTTGTTACAGCTAAATTCTCTACAAGTAACTTACTGTGAGAAATGTGAAATCAGTATAGACATTCTTGCTCGAATAAAGTGGAATTTCTGGATAAACCAGATCTTAAAAAATGCTCTTTACCCCCTCTTAACACCTATACTGACTAACCTGGGAGAGAAAGATATATATGTTTACCTATTTTCAGGCTGCTCTGGTCCGGTCATGTGATCCGACTCCCGTGTCAGCCAACAAGAGCTGCAGGGGAGAGGAGGGAGTGCCAACAATGAATGGGCCATAGAATCCTATGGGTAAACATTGCCATTCCAGCCTTTACTAGCCATTGTCAGGTGCTCTCTTCTCTACCCTGAAGCTGCCGCTGGCTGACACAGGGGAGATAACATGAACAGACTGAAGCAGCCTGAAAATAGGTATGCTTATACATTTTTCATGCACAGGTTAGTAAACATAGGTGTTAGGAGGGAGGGAGCATTTTTAAGATTTAGCCTGGAATTTCACTTTAAAAGTGTTACTAAACCCACAAATGTAAAATCAGTCTGTATATGTAGTAAAGCATGCTGGTTATACTCCTTGTGGAACCTAAGAGGTTAATACTCCGCATTGTGTAAACATTTTCTTTGATCCTGTCTTCTCTGATCCTCCCCTTTTTCTACTGTCCCCTATCCATCTGCTGATAGTACAGAGCTCTAGACGTCACTCGGCATATGCTCAGTTTAGTTTTTATTGCTATAGAGTTTCTTCGGGAGGGTGCATGTGATTAGCACAGGGCCAATCAGCACTGTGTAGACAGAGGGTCAGGGTTCATGCAGCCTAATAGGTCAGAGCAGAATGAAAATGCCTCCTAAAGGCTTTAAGCAGTGCTCAGCTGGACACTGATAGAAGTCACAAAACTGCTCTAACTGCTGAGAAAAAGTATTTAGCAGTTTATAATAACTGAAATAATTGCATTTCTATGTTCTGTGTGTACTGTGGGAGACCAGATATAGTGAATGCAGGGTCCTGGGTTTAGTAACACGAAGTTTGGCATAAAAAATTTTAATGCATGTTTTTAACAGGTGTGTTTCTAAGCTTGGTACACACGTAAAGTGTATATAATTTTTTTTTAAACCTGACAGATTGCCATACTAAACACACACAATGTTAGCATGATTATCTCCCCCCGCTGTGCCTTTGTGTTCTGACAGGGGGACTGCCCTCCGACAGAACTCACTGATCAGCGCGCTCAGTCATTGGCTGAGAACGCCGAGTGGATAATGGTTTTCCAGCATGTCACTTTGACAAAAGTCATTCATTAGACAAATTTTTGTCGGAAAGACTGCTGCACACACTGACTGAATTCTGCTAAATCCACAATGGCCAGTCTGCATATTCAACAAGAAACAAACAAACATCATATTGCGTCACTTCAACATAGAATGTATGTCTTACAAAAACAAATTCTTCAAAGCATATCTTTCCATCCTTGTTTTTGTCGCCCTCATTCATAAGCTTCTGAATGATCTCTCGCACTTTGTATCCAGGAAGAGGAAGGTTTGCTTCCTTAAATAGATAATGAAGCTCATAGTCTGAGATGTATCCACTGTGATCCAGATCTAAAACGGAACAAACAGAATATTGTGAGATAATAAGTTCAGTCAGAGCCTTTCTAAATATACCTCAGCTGCAGCAGATCTGCAGGACAGAAAAAAAAAAAAAAAAGGAAAAAACTGATCTGAAAATACTGAAAAATATAACACTATGAAAACTGTACAAGCTATAATTATTGTGATTCTCATTCTGCTCATTACCAGTTTGAAGATTAAATCTAACCAGGCATTAAAGTGGGCCTTTCAGTAACTTTACAAGTCTGCAAGAATACATTTCTTACATGTTACAATGTACAGCCACAATAAAACCTGTCAGAAATGTTTCACCTTTTACAAAAAGCCATCCATGCACTCCAGTCAGTAACTCTGCCTAGGCTGAGAGGATGTCATCAGTATTGTTCCAGGCACTACTGATCAGATTGCATATTTGCAGAGAATCAGATGTTGAGAGGTTGCAACTGTGGCTGAGTTGTGTCAAACATTTGTTAACACAGCCAAAACCTGCAGGGCACCAGAATTTACATGACTGTTACTAGTGATCCAGCATCATTGTCGAGAGTCATGCTGACCCTGGATTATGACTAAACAAAGATTGCACCGTCCTTCTGGCATATAACATATAAAAAGGCATTGCCAGGGGAGTATTGAGATCTCTGTTCATAGTAATAAAATACGAGGAAATATATATATATATACACACACACACACACATACACACACACACACACACACACACACACACACACACACATACATATATATATACACACATACATATACATATATACACATATACATACATATATATATATATATATATATACACATACATATACATATATACACATATACATACATATATATATACATATATATACACATATACATATATATACACATATACACACACACACATATATATATATATATATATATATATATATACACACACATACATACACACACACACACACACATATATATACATACATACACATACATACACACACATATACAATTATACTTTAAAAGACTCCAACCAATGACTGCCGAACGTCTTTATTAAGAAATCATTGACAGTATTTTTTAAAGGTAGCTAGTCTAAATACTGGAATCTGATCTAGGAAACAGCGGTGGCCACTTATGTGTGCTGCGTAAACATGCTGATAGGTGGAGAGAGCAGAGGAGACTTAGCTGTATTGCCTAATTGCAGTATAGATCCCATGGCTAGTATGGATGTATCAAGACTGGATGGATAGAAATAGAACTCCTCTGGCAGGTAACATAGCTTTTATATATGCAGTCCAGTATTTAGCTATTAGCACTGAGCTCAAATGCAAATCTGCAAAAGTGCATTGACTTGAATGCCTGCCTTATGGTACTGTATTGTCTTGCTACATTTATCCCTTATGACCAACCTATGGTTAATATAGAGCTGACAAAATACAGTACAGTACAGCTAAATGTTTCACCTGACATGGCAACAATCTACAATAAATAGGCCAATCCACCCAAAATAAATATTTCCCACTGCTCTTTAGAATTCTGGTGGTGAAATCTCAGTATCAACATTCTTTTTAGGTATACTGACTCTGCACCAGTCATTGCAAGATAATCTGATTTTTCTGTTTTTGTTACATTTGACATTAAAAAGGCAGCAGTAGATGTAACAAACCAGAAGACAAGTGAATTGACAACAGAAGCAGGGCTGTGACTCCTGCGAGTAGTTTTTGCTATTGGAATAATTTAATAAGGAAGAAGATGACTCAAGTGTGTATGTCTGGACACAAGAAAAAAAAATTATCTATACATACACACACACACATACACATGTACATACACACATCCTATAGTGCTAAAAGTATTGGGACGTCTGCCTTTACACGCACATGAATTTTAATGGCATCCCAGTCTTAGTCTGTAGGGTTCAATATTGAGTTGGCCCGCCCTTTGTAGCTATAACAGCTTCAACTCTTCTGGGAAGGCTGTCCACAAGGTTTAGGAGTGTGTCTATGGGAATGTCTGACCATTCTTCCAGAAGCGCATTTGAGGTTAGGCACTGATGTCGGATGAGAAGGCCTGGCTTGCAGTCTCCGCTCTTCATCCCAAAGGTGTTCTACAGAGCTGAAGTCAAGACTCTGTGCAGGCCAGTCAAGTTTCTCCACCCCAAACTCGCTCATCAATGTATTTATGGACCTTGCTTTGTGCACTGGTTCGCAGTCATGTTGAAACAGGTAGGGGCCATCCCCAAACTGTTCCCACAAAGTTGGGAGCATAAAATTGTCCAAAATGTCTTAGTATGCAGACACCTTCTGATTTCCCCTCACTGGAACTAAGGGGCCAAACCCAACCCCTGAAAAAAAAACCCACACTATAATCCGCCCTCCACCAAACTTTATACTTGGAACAGTGCAGCCAGACAAGTACCATTCTCCTGGCAACAGCCAAACCCAGACACGTCCATCAGATTACCAGATAGAGAAGCGTGATTCATCGCTCCAGAGAACACGTCTCCACTGCTCTGGAGTCCAGTGGTGGGGTGCTTTACACCACATCTGACACTTTAGATTGCACTTGGTGGTGTAAGGCTTGGATGCAGCTTCTCAGCCATGGAAACTCACTCCATGAAGCTCTCTATGCACTGTTGTGCTAATCTGAAGGCCACACAAAATGTGGAGGTCTTTAGCTATTGACTCTGCAGACAGTTGGCGACTTCTGCGCACTTCAGTATGTGCTGACCCCGCTCTGTCATTTTACGTGGCCTACCACTTCGTGGCTGAGTTGCTGTTCCCAGTTGCTTCCATTTTGTTATAATACCACTAACAGTTGGCCGACAAATATTTAGTAGCAAGGAAATTATTGCACAGGTGGCATCCTATCAAAGTACCATGCTTAAATTCACTGAGCTCCTGAGAGCGACCCATTCTTTCACAAATGTTTGTAGAGCAGTATGAATGCTTAGGTGCTTGATTTTATACACCTGTGGCCATGAAGATGATTATTGGAACACCTGAATCCAATGATTTGGAGGGGTGCCCCAATACTTTAGGCAATATAGTGTGTATATATAGCATATATAGCACAGGCTGCAATTGTTTCAAAATTGTCTCCAAATCAAATATGCGGCAAGTACAGAAAAAAACCTGTTGACCCTGCCCAATATCTAGTAAGTTCCTGTCTTCCAGTATTGAGCCAACAATATTTCTGTTGCATAAAAAGCTTAAACAGTGTCATTAACCCTGCCTGATGGGATACAGAACCCACCAAACCCCTCTCCACATCTCAATAACACAAGAGGGATATGTTCTGTAGTCCAGCACAGAAAAACAGTGCAGGGCTGAAACACTGCTTGGGAGCTCACTGTGGCAAAGGCCCTGTGTTGCTCCTATTTGTTTTTACCAGAATCAGGTATTTTTCTGTACATGCAGCTTTTCTTTTAAGAGAACACATGGAGAAATGTGCATTTCTTCAGATGTACTGATTTTTTTTTTTTAAATTTGGCTTCAGCGCCGAGGAAGGGGATACGTCCCTGAAACACGTCAGTGGGCCGACCGTACCACCAATCAGACACTCTACCATCATTGTGGGTCATCCTTTTGGCGTTTAGGCTTTTTCATGTACCGCATTTTAAGAGAATGTTTTTTTGTCTGCTTTCTTTTCAAATAAACCTTGGATAACGCACTAGGTGTTTGCGCCACCGGTGTGCTCCCTTCACAGTAAAATCTTCCAATAATTGATATTTCAGTTTTGGGTAGATTAATATGTAAAAATAAGCAGAGCAATTGTGCCCCACCCAGGAAAATAGTGAAAGTTACAATTATAGAGGCCAAAGTCTACAGGAAAGGTTTTAGCCTTTAGCAGGTATAACATGCATGGCTAGGAATTTGAAGCCTCTGAAATCACCCCATAAAATGTTTTCACAGTGTTCCTAAGTCTGCTGATCTAGTTCTCAGACGAGACTGAATCGGCTCTGCAGACTGAAAATGTACAGGAATGTTTACACTACATCACAATAGTCGGTAACCCTAACCCACTCAAGAACGCAGAAAGCCTTTAAGGAAAGGGGGTTATGTTAGGTGACTCGTGTCCCCTCTTAAATGCAAACACATGTGCCTTGTCTGGAAAAACATTTTCCTTCTCTCTACATGAGAAATCTGTTCACACCGGCACGTTTTCGTCACATCATACTCCGATGATCTCAGTTACCTAATGTTGACAGGCTAAAAGGGTTAAATAAGAAAAGTCAAAACAGCCTGAAGGAAAGCATGCCAAAGGCCTGCAGTTTAAATGAAAACTATATTGTGTGGACTCTGCAATCCAGTTGCAGGTGGTAGAGAGGAAAACAGTCATGACTTGGCTTCCTCCAAAGAATTTGAAATAGCCTGAACCACAGGATGCAAAAAAAAAAAAAAAAAAAAAAAAAAAAAAAAAAAAAAAAAAAAAAAAAGGGGGGGAAAAACAAATGATTCTACCATATAAAGGCACTCAATGAGCTAGGAATAGTTACAAAGCAAAACAAGCTTGGAGGGTTAGGAATCAACAGTGCAATCTAATGATCCTACATAAGGGTTGAAAATAGTCAAATAAATTAAAATGTTGAAGTATATGTGAACCCTCACCTTGTAAAACAACCCATTCAGTTTAAATTAGAAACGAAAGGCAAAACATTTGTGTATAGATCTAAAATAAATTATAAATACCTTTTTTCTTTTTTTATAAGTGATCACATACCCTTTGTCCTCAGCTGCATAAGGAGCTCAGAGAGAGAGGAAAACAGCAGTATACCGATCTTCCCAGCAGTCAGAAAACTGCCTATGCTTCCATGCCTAGTGTAATCAGTTTTTAATAGGAAAGCAGAGGGACAGGAGGAACACCAGGAATTTCACACAAAGAAAGCAATACAAGGAGAGCAGGATCCTTTTTTTTTTTTTATACAAGTACATGGTACAGCAGGCACCTATCAGGATATCTACTTTAACTTAAGCTCCAGAAGCAAGGCAATGAAA